GTCGCCCTTTCTTGACTTCCCTTTGTTTATCTTAAGCCGCTCCTTAGTGATGTATCTTCTTATTGTTGAACCGTTATCCTGAGGCAAAGCGTGTTTTTTGTGATGTCTTCTTTGAATCTCCAAGTCTGCTCAAGCAATACGCGAAATTATCGCTGACTCTTCCCTCTTCCAAGCTCCTTTAATAAGGTTTCTTTAAAATAGGATGTCCACAGACTCCCTTATCTTCCTTTTTCTGGTGTTTCCCGCATAACAGGCCAGTATTTCCGTTACATTCTAGTAAATTGTGTAGCCGGTAAGTGCGATGTGTTCATATTCTGCGTTATTTTATCTCTTCATCACCATCTGTATGTTATGCTGTATTTTTTCTTCTGGATATCCGTTTCCAAGAGGCATCTGAGTTAGTTTGCCCAGTTCTTCTTCACAGAACTCAGTTAGTCGTAATCTTCTTATGATCCTACTCCAGAGTATTCCTATCTTTATCCCATTAGTATGGTTCGACTGGAAATTAAGAGTTATTCCAGAATACGATTTCTTACGGGCAAGTTTTTTTGCTAGTTTACTCGGAGCGAATAACCTCCATATCCAAGAACTGTAAGTATTCGTTCTCTTCCACATCCATAGTAAATTTGCCTTTTTCATCCATTTCGTTTACGAAGATTAGGGAATCGTCTAATTTTTCCTTCCATGCAACTAAATTGAGAAGTATTTATCCAAACATCGCATAATTACTGTTGGCTGCTGTGTTGATATTTGGAAGTCCTCCGCTAACTTGCCCATGAATACATTAGCCAACATAAGTAAGAGTGACGAGTCTATAGGTAAACTAAATATTTGCTTATAGGCTGATTAATCGAGTTGGAGACTCTCTGCTCATTAGCTTTTTCTCTAGGATGTAATTTTATTTATCCAAGATCTCCAGTAGTGCGGTGATCTTAAGGCTTTAATCAGTAGTGCGGTGATCTTGAGGCTTTGATCAGTAGTGCGGCTTTTTCTCCTTTGATGGTAGTGTACATTGACAACGTGTACGTCGTGTACATTTTTTGCAGTGCCCCTTTAATTTTAACTGTTGGGTCTTTTGGTAGTAGTCGATACGTTGTAGTGTCACCGAGAATATTTTCCATTTTCTCTGTATATTCCTTGATGTCCATCAACACTGTGGCACCGCCTTTGTCGGCTTGTAACACTATTTGATCGTTTCTTTTCTATTATCTCTATATCTTGGTCATATTGTCCCTATGTATGGGTTCTTGATGTGCCAAGATTATTGGGATGATTTTCAACTCCAGCTCTCTTTTTTATTTTTCAGATTGCTTTCCAGAGGTATTTATCATCTACACTAATATGTGTTTGATTGCCTACCTTTCATTCCTTAGTTCAAAATTCACTCTCTTACGCAGAATTGCCGTGGTTTTGAGGTTGAGGGACGGCAAACAAATTCACTACTTTATCCTCATTTATTTTCTGGACTTTGATGCCTGTCAACATAAATGATTCTTCATTTTTGCCGGATAGTTGGAGCTTGGGTTGCCTATATATTCCATATTTATTCAGCTTCTTCTGCTGCCTTGTTTTGATTAAGTCCCTTATCCTTTTCGCCATTTTTTTTGTCATCTTCTGTAGTTTCAGGATATCCTCCAGTGTGAGAATCTGACTCAAATTGTGTCTGAGTCTAGAATTAATATTTAAAAACTTAAAAAAACGTTCCCCAAGGAGGGATACCATAACGTTGATAACAGTAACGAAAGGTGAAAGGACTAAATTGACTTACGATTGTTTTCTTTTATCTGCTGTAATTGATGCATTGACTGGCAAACTTACCACCGTGATTAGATCTTAGATATGAAGGCCAAGATGGTGTTGCCTTCTGTTTGGTCGCAGGGTCATCTAGCTTTATACTGTTGGCTCGACCTTATTTTCGCAACTTCGTCAGATTATCTGGAAGACCCTGTGGAATAAGACTTGTCACTTAGATAAGTTTTAATTCTATGCTTACGATGGTGCCTCCCACTGAGGATGCCGCCAACGATGCCTGCGAAACGTTTGGGAATGTACCCAGCCAATGGTCCAATGCTGGAAATCACGAATACTATACCAGAGTACACGGCACTAGGTATATTTCACAAGGTCTATCTTACGCTGCGATCAAGTTGCTAACACAACGTCGAACCGACATATGAAGCTAAAGAATATTGCGACAAAACAGAAGGCGACATCATCTTGATCTACATATATACGATCTAATAAAGCATAATCATATTTTGGCATGCTAAAATGGGAGAGAATTCACAATATTTCTTCGTATATTGTTTAGCAATTAACTCTATTAGATTCTACGCAGTGACTGTATCTATATCAATGTTTTAACATTAATGTTGCACTATAGACAGGCAAAGTTTATGCACTTTTTAACAGATTATATCTAAAAAATTTGTTAGTATCGCAAAATAGCTAATATCTAATTTGTCTAGCTTTAGTAAAAATTTTTAAGATTATCTATATGCTCCTAGAAATACTTAGATCTTTAAGCGCGCTGCTCTTAAACCTAATCAATATCAAATGTTTCCAAACCTAAATACGTATTTAATTTTTTTTATTTTACTAAATTTTGGACAGATATGGAGATTTAAAGGCCCGCATACTTTACAAATTTGCTAATAACTAGATTCATAAAGTACAAAAAAAAATTGTCTATTTTATTATGGTTTATTGATAGTTTGATTATAGATCCCATATGAAATATCTAGCTTTACTTCTGCATAATGCTTGTTAAGAAAATAATGATTATAATAACTCACTTCTAAACTCACTTCTTATATCTTCGCAACTTGGTATTTGCTGCCAGGGAGGGCTTGTTGAAAGCACCATATACGAAATCGTATATTAAAAAATGTAAAATATTGCCAGCGTCGTACCTTAGAATTAGTTTGACTCTGGAAACGCCATAACTTCGGACATGTTGCGTTTGAAAGACTATCTTGGTCTTCATATGTATTAGTTCATTTTTTGTTTACATTACTTTTAACCAATTTAGTATAAGGCATTATGTCGCATTGCCTATTTAATCAGAATACTAGTTAGAGTAAATAGTTAAATACAGGTTTCTATAATTTCATATTTATCTGGGGCCTTATTCTCTTGAATATTTTATAGTAGGTATTCTATTATTGTATTTTGCAAACTAGTATTAGCTGTCAAAATCCCTTTACCTCCATAATACCCACATTAAATATACAGGAAAATTCAGAAAGATGTAAATGCTTGCACTATTACCCTAGTATAGATGGTTACCTTCTGCTGCTATAACTTTAGCAGTTGCCTCTCGAGCAGCCTCCGCCTCTGCTGCCATTGCACGTTGCAATTGAATTGGAAGACGAACATCTTTGATTTCGACACGTTCAACCTTTACTCCCCAAGCCTCTGTGACGGAGTCGAGACACTCCTAAAAGCAGGTGAAATAGCCAAAAAGGCCAAAGTATGTGAAAAATTTCTATAATAATGGAAGCGTTGGAATATTTGAAAGCTAGTTGACAGTAATTAAAGGGATACTAATATAAAAGCTATTTCTGTGAATCAATGTTATTCCTAAATACGAAATATTTCTCAGGGTAAAGTTAAATATTTATAGATATATTAAATAATTATCTATTTAAATAATTAAACCTAAAATCATTACAAATAAGGATGCACTTGAGATCAAGTTAGTTTCTTAGTTATACTACCAAGTTATCTTGTCTATGAATACAAGCAATATCCGACAACTTAATTCTTGATGATTTTCTAAATAGCCCCTTTGAGGGAATATTTTTAGAACGATATATACACTCACACTAAATAATTTTTTATTTAACACCTTATCCTTTTCTTCATTCATATCATAGTCCAAATTGTTAGAGTTGCTTAATTTTTGACAAATGCTCAACTATTAGGTGACCTTAATAGAAATATACTGAGGACTAGGCTTACAAAGCTAATACCTAAAGATACTAACAGTAATTTATAGCTTAGTTTAACTCGAATGCTTTTTAAGTGAATAACATATTTGAAATATAAATCAACTGCATTTTGACTGGGCAAACTTAGGTAGCCCCATTAATAGTGTTGCAGGTATTAGGATTATAAAATTTGGAATAACTCCTTCAATACAAGTCACTTTTAATATAAGACTAGCTAAATATATTTCGCTATAAAGTATGCCTTCAATAATAGAATAGCAAAGCTAAGCATTCAAAAAACATTATGTTAAATATACATATGTGGAATAATCAAATAATCAATGTATTAAAATTTGTTTAATTAATTTGTAAGGCAGAAATTGAGGCATAGAGGCAGTATATTAGTAGAAAATGATAAATGAGCATAATTTAAATAAAAGGCGGTAAATCATATCATCTAAACAAAATACGTTATAACTTGCGTTATTGAAAATTCAATAGATGAGATGTGTTCACCCTATTTAGTTTAAGGTGGTAGTTGTAGAGCTTATGTTTCCATTGAATTTCGCACAGCCTTGCTTCCCAAAAGGTATTCTCATCCAGGGTGCACTTCAGTTGCGACCTCGTCTAGGTCTTATCAGCACCATCAACTGGCCTCGGACCATGATAGTGCAGGTTATAAGCTGGATACTTTAACCACTAAGTCACATTGCCACGAGATGCCTTGGGTCGCAGGGCAGATATGAATTTCATGGAACGCCAGAAATTTCTCATATTAAATTCTGTGGTGAGAGTGTCGACAAAGCAAAGTTATATTTGCTTTAGAAATCGACTACAGTACTTAGATTTCGTTTCTAAGCCGGTTTTAAAGCCTACCAGTAAGTCATATATATGAGATGTCTTTAGCCTATTTCGCTGTCTTTTTTATCCTCCTACTGTACAGCAAATGTTGACATAAGGCTCCTCTCTTAGTATGAAATCCGCTTCCCTAGGTGATATCAGAGTCACCAATTTGCTCCGTAGGATCTTCACCTCTGGCGAAATAGAGTGAATATATCTCAAATAACTGATTTTCTGGTAGTCTCTAAGTCCTATTTAGAAACAAAGAATAAGTAATGCAGACGATTGAAGAAGCAAATGTTATTTTGCTTCACTCACAATCTTGCCAAAGAATGCGCTATAAGAAGATGCTTGGCCTTCCCTGAAATTTACACCTGCCCTATGATCTAGAGGAACTCGTGGCAGTGTGGCGTATTCATTAACATGCTGAGACTACGCTGGATTGGCATGGTTTGAGTCCCGCTAAGGATGTTTATAACACCTAGGTGAGGTCGAAACTGCAGTTCATTCTGGATGAGAGCACCTTTTTAGAAAGCAAGACTATGCGAAATTTAATGGAAACCTTATTTATATTTATATCACTTTGGGAAAATTCATCTACGAGTCCTTCATCCACTTAGATGAAATAGGGTGAGTACACCTCATTTAGTCAGTAAAGCTTGCTATTCTTAACACCAAACTTCAACTCGTCAAAGAGACAAAAGAAGTCAATCCGTTTACCAACTTAATGCCGAAACGGTTTTTCTATCTCTCCTGGCCCTTACATTTTCTCCCTAACCTCTTATCTCACTCCCCCCCTATCATAAGTTCTGACCTGTTTATATTTCATTCCCCAAGATATATGTCTTGTTTGTCGAATTTAGTGCGGTGTCATCAGACCTGCTATTTTCCTTGCCCTTCTCCTTCTCAATGTACTGATCCGACTCTGACCTCGTATCCGGATCTCCCTCATAGGCCTATAGATTCATTTCTGACCTTTCAGTTTCACCGATATTACTCGGTTCCAGTTACTGAATACGTTTTATTCCAAACGATATTTTACAAGCCCTCAGCCATGTACACTGTCGCCTCACGGAACTGAGCATCTAGGTTCTGATTCCCATGCTTGCAGATATCAGGCATTAGCTTCACAAGTCATTTCCTTCATAACACCCGTTTACTCTGAGGAAATTGTGAACTTCTATGTCTGGTTGCCTTCTGCCTTGAGTGCATTTCTAGTCAATTTCACCATAATGCCAACTTTCTGTGACGGTTGTGATATACAGTCTCCCTAGTCCTGTGACCGACACTCCTCCAAAGTTGTAATTGCTTCTTCAAGCAGACCACATTCACCTAAAGTGTCTATGCTTGATTTACAAATCTTCCTCAACCGCTTATTCCTTGCATTTAGTTTTCCTCCGATTAACGATAGGTCTTTGGCACACGCTTTTTCTCTTTGCTGGTCTTGCTGTAGCCTTGTTTTCTCTAAGTTATTGCTAACTCTGCCTTCTCATAATCTACTAGTAATTACATAGTTTCCGCATGGTTATTAATGACCTCCCTAATCTTTAATATCCCCGTGTGCTCCCCTTATAAAGCCCTTATTTATTTTTCCTTCCAATTGATCTCGTGTCCAGTCTATGCATTCCACTATTTCTGACCTGCCGGTATCCATTTTCTTTAGATCCTTTGATGTTTCTTCCTTCTTATGCCGATTTGTATGCCTGTTTCACCAACATATTTCTATTCCTAGACCCCGCATGCTAGGCAGTAAACTACCGAGCAATCCAATTTGTTTCTGCTCTCGTATTGACTGGTAATACTTGTAAATAGTTGTTTTTTCGTTCGTGGTAAACTGAATATTTAATGAGATGTTTACACCCAAATTGGTTTAAGGGAAGGAAGGACTGGTAGAAGAATTTTCCCACAATGATATGAGTAGAGCTGACGTTTCCATTGAATTTCACATAGCACTTTCCCAAAAGTTTTTCTTATCCAGGGTGGACTGCAGTTTCGATCTCGCATGAGTCCTATCAACACCCCCAGCGTTATTTGTAGTCTCGAAACAATACTTGAATATTTCATTTTTTTAAATATCAACAGTGGTTTTTGAATTTGTTAGCAGGACAGTAGGTATATACA